TGTTATTCAGTTATTTAAAACCATTGCACATTATTCAAAGAACAAAAGGCGAACTTAATGCCATACAGCATTATCTTCCAGTCAACCTTAGAGCCAAGGAAGGAATTAAAGGCGGTGCATAAAGGTTGACGTTGTAGAGACAAAAAATTACAAATATTTTTAGTGCCTTAGTTAGAAGCTTTTAGAAATGGCCTAAAATGTATAATCTACTAATACTAATATTATTAAATAAATGCGAAAGTAACTCTGTCTTGCCTTCACGCCTAAACCACTGAACCGATTTTGATGACATTTGGCATAGAGATAGTTTGAGTCCCTGGAAAGGACATAGGATAGTTTTGATCCCGGTTTTTGAAACAAGGACGCGCGCGTTAAAGCTTTTCTGTGACAGACAAAATTCCACAAAGCCTCGGGCGGAAAGCTAGTTGGAACATATTCGATAGAAATGTCTCTCCACCTAACTCTTAACTATTATTTACCTATTTTATCGATAAAACTTGTCATTTTGATATATCACCCGTGCTCTATCTACGTCTAAGGATCAACAAATAGTGTTAACGGACATCCTTATCCTTAGCTTGATAGGCAAATAGTTTAACGCCCGTATTCACAAACATTACTGTGAGGTCTCACAGTGCGCGTGGACGCACAGGGTGACACACGAACCAAACACAGAGCTATATTTATTCTGTGCGTTCGATTTGCTGCTTCTCATAAAAAACTCATGACACTCATTTATTTTTGCAAATAGGCTTTTAAAAAGCACTTTTACACGTCCTAATATTAACCCTACCACTGCTACGGGACAATAAATAGGGCAGTGCTGAGAAGAAGCAGCGCAAGAGACTCAATCACATTCTCAAGAAAAAGTCCTTATTAAGTCCCAAATCGTTTTTTTTTTTGACAAAAAAAAGATTCCAATTTAACTCTATGTACAAACAGAGAGAGACAGAGTTACTTACGCATTTCTATGGAAATAGTGACTATCGGACTGTCTTTCTTTGACAATCTGCTTCGACTGTAATCGCGTGCGTATCCCCCTTTTAAAAACCGGGATAAAAACTATCCTTGTTTTCCTTGGGTCTCAATCTGTCTCTATACCCATCTAAATCGGTAGTGACTGACTTTCTTGCGCTGCTACTTCTCAGTACTGGCCCATTTATTGTCCCGAAGCAGTGGTAGGGTTAATACTGGGACGTGTAAAAGTGCTTTTTAAAAGGGGACTTGCAAAAATAAAATTAGTTTTTATGAGTTTTTTTTATGAATTCTGTGAAGGTAACAGACATACCTACACATTGAAAGTAAGCATTTTGTAAGTAAGTCAGTAAGTTCTTTATTGGGTATATTATTATTAGTATCTATGGATCAATAACACACATTTCGTATGAAGAGTGATTCAGTTTTAATTACACGTTCATTCAACTTTTAATAGCTTGGAAATCAATAAATGAGTCAACGGTTGACTTTGGACAGTTTAGTTCATTTACTAAGGTCACAGTTCAAATATTCCAGTTACTTTTGAGGGACTTTCCCACCTCTCGTTCCCACCGCTGCAACTCCTGTGTATCCAGGATCTACAGTTTGACCAAATAGTAATAGGCACGAATCTATGGCGAACCGGGTCTGCTACCTGTATTTTATTGAAAAAGAGGCTGACAAAGGTGACTGAGTTTCTTCCGCCACTTCTACTCAGCACCAGCCCATATGTTGTCCCGAAGTGGTGGTAGGGCAAGCTATATTTGGGACGTGTATAAGTGCCCTAGTAAGGGCCTATGCATGTACTGAATAAACTATTTGATTTGAAAAACTTAATCTGAAACGCCCAGTTGGTTTCTTAAACACATCTACTCGCACATCAGTCACGAAGCTCGACGGCCTTTTGCTATTTATTTATTTATTTTTACCCGATTACGGCAAAGCAAAAGGAGGGTTATGATTTTGACAGGCTATGTATGTATGTATGTATGTATGTATGTTCATGTGTTCCCTCGTAACTTCTAAACTACTTAACAGAATTCGACAACTGACCTATCATTAGAAGCGTCTTAATTGTCCGCTGGTTATAGGCTATATGGGATTTCACAAAATCTAATGTGGCGTCCTCTAGCGGACAAAACATACAGAGTAAAAAAATAAAGTTAAGATAAATATGCCGTGTTTGGTATCATTTGAAAGCGCTTTACTTCTACATTTTGAATATATATATATATATATTACTAGCATTTGCTTGTGACTTTACCTGTATTCATGGGCTGATTCCATATAATTCACATCTTTTCGTTCGTAGCTAGCTTCCTTACTACTTATTAGTTCATCAATTTAACTTTTGTTAATATTATGCGCCACAAATACAGTTTAACACCAAAATAGTACAAATAAAAATAAAAAGTAAAAAAACTAAAACCCAACTAGCTACGTCAAAAAACGACGCTGAAAAAGTATAAAACAAGATTTTCAGAATACTGAACTGAACAAAGTTGCTATGTAGTTGCATAGTAATTTTCATGTTTGGAAAGGCGTAGTCACACGTTGTCAAAGTGCTACGGTAGGTAGGTATATGTAACGTGTGACTACGCCTTTCCAACCAACTTTTTCAGCGTCGTTTTTTGTCGTAGTTGGGTTTTAGTTTTTTTACTTTTTATTTTATAGAAACCAACAGCGATACATTGAAAATGTTAGTTATATGTTGTTTTAGGCATCTCAAACGCTGCGAGCGGGCGCCACAATAAAATTTTGCCCCGCTTTAAAAAAAATCGTAGATCCGTGGTTGGTATTAATCCCGAATTCCGTTAGCCTGCTCCAAAATTATCGACTATACGTCATATGATATCACGATAAAATGCATCTACTTCTTGATTGATGCACATGGTTGGAAAACTTTGATAAGCGAGAATCAGTTATCGCACCTCAAATTGACCGGAAGTTTGACAAAATCCTTCAGTTCCTGTACGTTAATATTATATACCCGATGTACGTAATTATATTGATATACGTTATGTTCAGGTATATTACTGTTAAGTCCACAAAACGTACGTCAGAAGGTTGGAACAGTAAAACATGTGATTTCTTTAAAGGTGTATTTGCGACTAAAATAAAACTGGCGGGCTCAGCCGCCGACACATACAAGGAACAGTATAACTATTGTTTCCTATTGTTAATTGTATTGGGCAATGATGTGGGAACGCAGGGCGCTACTCAATACTCTCTGTTCATTCATGAAGTTAATTTATTACTCTGATTAATGTGTACCTACATCATCCCCCTCCTTATACAAAAAATAAAACACAATAACGCTTGATTGAGTAAATAACAAAATAATGAATATTTGAAACAACATTATAAAACAAAATTCTATGTCAATTAAAAATATCTAGAGACATAATACGCTCAATCAAATTGTACACTTGGTCCATTGCGAAAATACAAGCAATGCGCAAGTTTAAGTAAAAAGTAAAAACATAAGAAAAGGTTGTATGTGTCTATCATTATATAATATAAAAATGTCAATTACCAATTACTAAACATCAATAAACATCTCAGAAACACAATAACAAAAATGTTTTGCCAAACAAAATACAATAAATCAATTTGAATAAAGAGTAAAGTAAAAAATCATGAAACCATATAAAAAGTAAGTGCATAAAAATACAATATTAAATTAATAAACTAATAGCTAATTAATAATACGCATAATAGTTTACATGTTTCGTAAAAACATTAGAACATTGTATTTATAAAAACTTATCCTAAGTAAGTAACGATGAGCCGCTCTACCTACTTAGAAAGAAAAAAAACTTACAAGTCAAAACGCACCGGTTTATTGATAACGCGGCCACTTCGCGTTGTTTTTGGAATTAGAACTTTGCTAGAAGTGTCTGCGTTATTAGTACTAGTATTTTTACTACCGTTATTATCACTATAACTAGAATTAGTAAAAGAATCAAAAGTATCGTTTAAATCATGGTCACTAAGAATGTGCGCGGGTTTTAACCTATCCATTGAAATAGTAGTTTCTTTTTCTCCTATTTTAATGACGAATGTTTTGCCTCTCCGACTTATGACGCCATAGGGGCCATCATATGGGGGTTGAAGAGATTTGCGCATTAAATCATTCCGAACAAACACATATTTACAAGTACTTAAATCACTCGGAACAAATAAAGAACGTGAATTACGATGACTCGATGGTCTCGGATTCAGGTTACGTATATTATCTCTTAGTTTCTGCAAATATTCTGAATCTGTATCACAAAATTTAGTATCTTCAAAAAAATCGCCTGGCAATCGAATTGATTTGCCGTAAGTTAATTCAGCTGCGCTTACACCGCTGTCGCTTCTAGTAGCGGCGCGTAAACCTAACAATACAACTGGTAGTTCGTCTACCCAAGAACTGTTGCGTTGTAAGCGTGCCATCAAAGCCACTTTAAGTGCTCTATGCCACCGCTCAATCATGCCGTTACTTTGAGGGTGATAAGGTGTCGTGCGCAATTTGTGTATTCCCAAATATTTCATTAACTGTCTAAAAAGATCACTTTCAAATTGTCTACCCTGGTCGCTGGTAAGCTTTGAAGGGCATCCAAAACGAGATATCCAACCCTCAAACACTATTCTAGCGATAGTCTCCGCTGTAATGTTTTGAACAGGAAATGCTTCAGGCCATCCGGTACATCGGTCTATCATCGTTACACAGAATCTATAACCGTCAGCCGAAATTGGTAAAGGCCCTACTATATCTATGTGTAAATGCTGGAAACGATCAGGTCGCCCAAACTGTCCTACATCAGATACAGTATGTCTCGTAATTTTCACTTTTTGACAATTAATACATGCACGAGCCCATTTTGATATATCTCGATTCATATCAGGCCAAAAAAACTTTTGTTTAATTAGATTTTTTGTAGTTTTAATGCCTGGATGACTAAGATTATGCACAGAATAAAAAGCTAATTGCCTATATTGTTTCGGTAAATAAGGTCTGACTTTGTTAGTTGACATTTCGCAATAAACAGGTTCCTCACAGCTAGGCAAATGAAACTGCTTAAACTGCAAGTTACTATCCGAAACTTTTAACGCTTTCTGTAGGTATTCGTCGTTAGCTTGTTCTTTTGCAATTTCTGAGTAATGAAGTACTGTGGGACAATCTACTGTCTCTATACGTGATAATGCGTCTGCCACTACGTTATTCGGTCCGCTAATATAGCGAATATCGGTAGTAAACTCGCTAATATATGAAAGATGTCTAACTCGTCTCGGACTTTCCTTATCATTATTATTGAGTTTAGAAAACGCATATACTAGTGGTTTATGGTCAGTAAAAATTGTTAGGACGCGACCTTCCAACAAATTCTTAAAATATTTGATGGCCATGTAAACAGCTAACAATTCCCTATCATAAGTTGAATATTTTATTTCAGTCTGAGACAACTTCTTTGAAAAATAGCCAAGTGGTTGCCACACGTTGTTTACCTTTTGCTGTAAAACCGCGCCGACGCATGTGTTTGAAGCGTCGGTCATAAGCGATAACTCCGCATCGGGTAACGGGTAATGAAGTGTAGCGGCGCTTTGTAAGCTCTCCTTACACTTCTTAAATGCCTCGTTGGCTTTGTCGTTCCATGCTATAATAGTACGGTCTTTCTTTTTGGCGTTGTGTAAATAAATATTGAGCTCGGATTGATATTCAGCGGCTCTAGGAATATGAGTGCGATAAAAATTCAACATCCCTAAGAATCGACGTAACTGTTCGACATTCTCGGGCTTCGGATAATCAACAATCGCCTGTACTTTATAGTCCAGGGGACGTACTCCCTCCGACGACACTTCATATCCTAAAAATTCTAACTTTGATTTCCCAAAGTCACACTTCGAAACATTTAAAGTAACGCCATAATCATTAAACCGTTTAAAAACTGTGTCTAAATGCTGTTTGTGCAGGACCTCATTTTCGCTAGCTATTATTACGTCATCGAGATACACAAATAAAAAATCTAGACCTTGTAATACAACGCTATCCATAAATCGTTGAAATGTTTGACCTGCGTTACGTAACCCAAAGGTCATGCGCGTAAATTCAAACAGTCCAAAGGGTGTTATGATCGCTGTCTTCTCAATGTCGTCATCATTTACAGGAATAAAATGATATGCTCTATTTAAATCTAGGCGAGAAAAAATAGTTTTCTTACCTGCTAATACATATTTAAAATCTTGCAATCGGGGTATGGGGTAGCGGTCTGGCTTCGTCACGGCATTCAACCTACGGTAGTCACCGCAAGGACGTAAATCTCCGTTCTTTTTGGCTACTACATGAAGTGGACTTGCCCATGCGCTTTTGGACGGCCTACATATCCCTAATTCTACCATATGTTTAAATTCATCCTTGACCCGTTTGTACCTATCCGGAGGTAGAGGCCTAGCCTTCGTATAGACCGGGGGACCGGATGTCTCTACATAGTGACATACTGAGTGTTTAGGCGTCTCTTTATACGATACAGGTTTGGTTAAATCTGGATAATTTAATAATAATTCATGCCATTTGTTAGTATTATCCACGGTCTTAATAGATGACTCATCGTTACTTTCCTGTGAAATAATCGAAGCGAGAACATTTAGATTGGTGACTTGGTCCCTTAATTTTCGCGCGTGTAAATCAACTAACAGTTTGAAATGGCTTAAAAAGTCTGCCCCAATAATTGGCTGCTTTACGTCCGCTATAATGAAAGTCCATCTAAATGCTCTCCTTAGATTTAAATTTAAAACAAGAGTACGCATACCATATGTCTTAATTTCAGTACCATTTGCAGCATATAACTTATAATTACAATCATCTGAAAGCGAAGACACACACTTTTTAACTGCAGGAATCACAGATACGTTGGCACCCGTATCAATTAAAAACTTTAGTCTGCTATTTCGGTCGAAAACACAAAGGCGGTTATTATGCGATTCGATACTTGCCCCCGCCACCGGCTGTATCGCGTCTAGTTTCCCTGCGTAGATGTCGGTTTAGCCCCCTTCCAATTGCAAGGCTCGACGCACTTCACAGCCTTAGCACGGTAACGGTGATGATAAAAACATAACCAATTTGGTTTTTTTCGGGACATACTCACGTCGCGCTGACCCGATCGGCTTGTTCTCCCTCGCGCAGTTGAGCACTCCTGTCGTTGAGGTGTTCTGGACCGGCGTAACTCAGCGACTTCCACTTGCAGTCGGTTAATCATTTCCGATAATTCGTGAATGCTTCCCGGCGTGGAGGTTTTCATTTCGGCTATTTCTGTATATTCTGGCCTGGTTGCCTCCATAACCTTGTCCGCCACCGTTGCCAAGCTCTCCAAGTCCTTGACCTCGGTGACAGCAAGAACAGCCTGAACTGCCGACGGCAAGTGTCTGGTCCACATTATTTGTAGCGTGGAGTCTGGTAGTTTGTTTCTAGCCAAGTCTCTCATCCGACGGAGAAGTTGCGATGGCTTTTGGGTGCCCAGTTCCATTTCCCCCAAAAGCTTTTGAAATTGCCGCGTCTCAGACTCTTCAAACACTTGTAACAGACGGTCCTTCAATGTCTGATATCGTCTTTCTTGTGGTGGTGACAGCAGCAGGTCGCTGACTTGTTGTATGGCAGATTTGCTGAGTTTGGTAACGACTAAGTTTTGTTTTGTTACATCTCCTAGTCGTTGCGATTCTACTACGGCCTCAAATTGGACAAACCAGAGTCGCGGTTGGTCTGACCAAAAATCAGGTATCCTTGACGAAACACTTATACTCGCCAAAGTCTCCGTCTCCGTCGACGCCTGTGCGGGCGGTGCCGCTAAAGAAGGCGCCGGCGTATTAGGCGCGGCGTAAATAGGTGCGGGTCCGTCTTGAGGATTCATATCCACAATGCACTGTCCAAAACGTAAAAAAAAAATGTTCAACAGGCGTCACCAATGTACGTATTTATACACTGTATACCTAATTATCACGTCGGGCGTATTCATACACTGTATACGTAATGATCACGTCGGGGTCACCAATGTACGTTAATATTATATACCCGATGTACGTAATTATATTGATATACGTTATGTTCAGGTATATTACTGTTAAGTCCACAAAACGTACGTCAGAAGGTTGGAACAGTAAAACATGTGATTTCTTTAAAGGTGTATTTGCGACTAAAATAAAACTGGCGGGCTCAGCCGCCGACACATACAAGGAACAGTATAACTATTGTTTCCTATTGTTAATTGTATTGGGCAATGATGTGGGAACGCAGGGCGCTACTCAATACTCTCTGTTCATTCATGAAGTTAATTTATTACTCTGATTAATGTGTACCTTCAGTTCCTGTCGGTCTGATTACATAGTTTCATCAAGTCACGTTTCGGTTCTGACCTCGTTGTTACAACTCCGATTGATAGAAGAAGAATAGTGAACTCACAAAAACTCAAAAAACACATTTTTTATGCAAATAGGCTTTAAAAAAGCACTTTTACACGTCCCAATATTAACCCTACCACTGCTTCGGGACAATAAATGGGCCAGTGCTGAGAAGAAGCAGCGCAAGAAACTGAGTCACTATTGTCAGCCTCTTTTTCAAAGGTTTACAGACTGCGGTATCCGCTAGATATAAGGATTTTATGTATTTGGTTGAACTGGCAATAAACGTTTTATTTATTTAAAACATTACATAGTTAAAATATTTATGCGAGCTAGGCAGTTAGGCAGTAATACTTTAGTTAACAGTCGTATAAGTTTATTTTTTTGTAATCATGGCATAAAGCAGTTTTGTAGACCCAGTGTCATTTTAAACTCCCCAATTTTTTAGGTCTATAATGGGCCGGTGCTGGGAAGAAGCAGAAAAAAAAACATTCCAAACATTTTTTGTCTTCTACTTAAAGCGTAAAATCTCTACTTCATGATAAAATTGGATTTTCATCACACAACCGTTATTCATTGATCATTTCTGAACTCGCAAGATATCGAGTGTGATACTGCCAACAGCCGTGGGAAAGTCAATATTGAAATTAGCGTCGATAAGTTTGTACAACAACTGGACATGACGATTTTATAGCTGTGTGAATTATGCAGCGAACGAGTTTTTAAACTGTTACATAAGGTATAAAATCGGGCGGTAAAGAATCTGGTTTTATTTAAAACTAGCTTTCCGCCCGCAGGTTCGCCCGCGTAAAAAATGGGCTGTTTTTAGGGTTTTCCCGAAAATTTTTCGATGATTTTTCGCCGTAAAAACCATCCTTGGACTTCAACGAACATTTAAAAAAAGAATTGGTGAAATTGGTCCAGGCGTTGAGTTATGCGCTTGCTAACACATTTTGAGATTCTTTTTTTTATTGTTGACTAGCCCATTTGTTGTCCCGAAGCAGTTGTAGGGTTAATACTGGGACGTGTAAAAGTTCTTTTTAAAAGCATATTTGCTAAAAATGAGTTTTTTTAGCTGTGCCCGCGACTTCGTACGCGTGAAAATAGTTTGAATATTTCCCGTTTGTGCAACATTTGTCTTTACTGCTCCGCCCCTATTGGCTGTAGGGTGATGTTTAGCCTAAATTCTTCCTAGATAAATGGGCTTATCAACACAAAAAAATACATAGATCTGTTTCTCTGTCATGTCATAATACACTTAACATCAAATAATTCAATTCAATTCAAATAAACCGCACCTTCCGCGACGCGAACTTTAAAGATTTTCTTCTGACACAATCATGGTGTCCCAACAATATTGGTGTTATTTGAAAGCCCAATAAATATCCTTAAAGAAAAAGACATTTAATTTCTAAATAAATGATTATCATATACCATAAATGTGACTTGAAAAGAGACCTCACTTTGGGCTCACCTCTGGGATCAATTAGACCAAATTTTATGGTTATGAAACCAAATAATGATCACACGTATCCTCTTTAACAGATGGATACCGATTAATCCCAACTTAACAGTTTTACAGCCATAAAAGTTGGCTCAAGCGTAATAGCCTATTTTTTGAAGAAGTGACTCTGGATCCTTCTAAAGACACATTTTTGGGGTAAAAACGTTTCCTTTAATGAAATGAAGCTTAGAACTAGGCTTTTAAATGGTGCCAATATTGGTGGGAAGTGGGGATGCATACGTTTGAAAGTGCTTGTTGCGGGAGGTGCGATTTATTTGATGTTGAGTGTATGTCAATGTCACTCCGTGCCGTTCCCATACCTCAGGCACTAACTAAGAGTTAATTACTAGACCTGTAGTCTGCTTAATATAAAAATCTACTTTCAAGTCCCGGGCAAACTCTAGGTAGTTAATAAACTGGAGTTTCTCAGCACAATTTCTAAAAATACCTCGACGCAAAACGAAGAAACCCACCGAAGCCCTTTAAGCGGTTTAGGTTACGTTTTCTTCGAATTTTTATAATCGCATTAGGGAAGGACAAATTACTTTGCCAACGGTGTTGAAGAAAGTAAAGAAAAGAAAAGGAGATTTTTTGGTTCTTTGGAAAACCATTTAATTTTGTCTTAACTGCCTAGCTCGCATAAATATTTATAACTAGGTAGGTACATAAAATGTAGTTGTTAGCGACTTTTTCAAGTCTTTTTCTTGAATGTGATAGCTGAATAGTGACTTCTTGTGCTACTTCTTCCCAGCACTGGCCCATTTATTGTCCCGAAGCAGTGGTAGGGTTAATACTGGGACGTGTATAAGTGCTTTTTAAAAACCTACCTACAAAAATAAAATGAGTTTTTGAAAAACTATGCAAGAATAGTTATTAAAAATTTACAAATTATCAAGTGTTTGTTTGTTTGTTTGTTTCATCAATGTTGGGATGTACCTACTAACATTATCTTACCTGTCTTATACTACCCTCTACCACAAAAACCTGAATATTTTACCAAAGAAACAATTCTATCAAGCACTTTTCCTGTCTAGACAGGCGGTGGCACCGGGTGCGAAATGTTAGGCTTTCAATTGAACGCTCGATATTAGTAAAAATGTTTTGGCATTTCTGCAATATTGGTATTCTTTGAGTTTATTGAAAAAGGTATATTAGGTCTGTTCTAAGTGAGAGTAGGCGCACACCGTTGATTTTTAGTTGGCCGATAGTTGTGCCCGATTTTAAATTGTATGAAGAATCGGCCAAATCGAATCGGCGTAGTGTGCGCACTCCCTTACATGCCCATACTGATCAACTGCCCGACTAAACTATCGGCCGACGAAAAATCAACGGTGTGCGCCTACTCTAAGTCCTATAGTTGAACGATTTTTTAACGTCAAATGGGAAAGATCGAAAATACTAATAAATGACCTTCACTGAACAGTGTACCTACCATGAGTTTACGTTAGGTGTGGTCGCTAGCGACTGCGTAAAAAAATGACATTTAAATGTATGACATATTGTGCAGCGCCCCTAGTGGCTACTTTCAAGAAATAAAATCTTCATATAATTTTTTGACGTATTCGCTAGCGAGCTCACCTAACGTAAACTCATGGTAGGCACACTGTCCCACCAAACTCGTTGACAGGCGGCGCACCACCATCTTCAACTACATAGTTTCAAAATGTCAAAAATCGGAACCAGCGATCCGGTATTGACGGTGGCGCCTCCCTGTCAATGTCACGGGTGGGACGGTTCAGTGTAGGACAACTATGTATATTTTTATGGTAGAGTCGGGCGGGATCCTGCAAAATACAGTCCCTGCAAAAAACAGGATGTCTGCGTTTGAAAGTGCCCTTTCTGCAACAAACATCGTCTCTCCAATCTCCGTCTAATATCGATCCTTGTTTAGAGAAGTCCTCGATAATGCATGCAGATTGAATTCGCATCACTATTCGCTCTGCTTATCGCCGCCGCGCAGGGCTCGCAATCAAGCGGGTAGGGAGGGGAATAACATCGATGTTTATGAAAACAATTCGTTTGGGGGAAAATTACAAGTTGTTTGTTTGTTGATAGGAGATACACAATACGAAACATTTGTGTACAGTCACCGTCAAATAGTTCGTGACACCCAAAGTAGCCAAAAACATCGTAAGTCTTTGTTGCAATTGGAATAAGGTTGTGTTGTCAACTTTTTGGCCACTTTGGGTGACACGAACTAATTGACGTTGACTGTACCTATATCTTTGGGAGTTTTTTAGTATAGTATTTTAGTGTATGTAGGTGATATTAGTTAGGAAGACCTGTAACGTAGTTTTAGGATAAGATGGCGCAATGTATTTTTTTCCCAAACTACATAAAATTACTCGAAAAGCTACTTTGTTAACGTTATGTAAGAACTAATTTAATTAATCTTACATAATATTGATATTTTTTATGATAGTTCCTGTTACTATTGCGTATAAAATAGGTATGTACGAATGAATTGTCCAAAGTTATTTATTTATCTTAGCACAGCCATAGTCAGATACGTCAACCTGATAGATAATAAATATGCAATTGTTTTTATAATTCAAAATTATAATTGTTGATGCAGTTTGACTCTATCGACAAATTTTATCGACTATCCCAACACTACTGCATAATTGTCGCTATCGAAGCGCACAGTTTGTTTGCAAGCTTCGCATTAAACAGCTTTAATAAGCTCACTGCGCATTTCACTGTCAATTATACGAATTACACCCTATTAATAAGCTAGTAGGATTCAATTTTGACTGTACCTATGTAAAATTTGTGTAGCAATTTAGCTATGGTGGTGTAGGGTTATTAATGGGTTGGAAAGACAAACTCACCTGATGGTTAATCAATGTCACTATAAGAGTATTTCACGGTGCATTCGATATACTAAAGAAGGGCCACACATTGCGTTAGAGAAGGTTGGAGGTTCCTTCTAGGTAAAAAAGAGAACGCCATTTAGAAATGAATTCACTTTCGTGCATTTTGTTTAAATTAGCTTAACTATAAAAGTCGTTACTTAAAGCTAAGTACCACTGCTTTGGGATAACAAATAGGATCAAAACCGTCGAGTTGTTTTGGCGTCTATCTTATTACTTACTAGCTTTCCGCCCATGGCTTCGCCCGCGTGGAATTTTGTCTGTCATAGAAAAACCATATCGCGCGCGTCCCTGTTTCAAAAACCGGGATAATAACTATCCTATGTCCTTTCCCGGGACTCAAACTATCTCCATGCCAAATTTCATCAAAATCGCTTCAGTGGTTTAGGCGTGAAAGCGTGACAGACAGACCGACAGAGTTACTTTCGCATTTAAAATATTAATATAGTATAGATTTTATTTCGTAGTACGTAAGCGTGAAAATAGTTTGAATATTTTTACCCGTTTAAATGTTTTTTTAGTACTAAGAAAAAAAAGTTTGATTTGTTTAAAACTGTAAACACTCATTTTATTTTTGAAAGT